AATCCAAAAAACACAAAATAATAAATGTTGGAGAGGTTATGGAGAGACTGGAACACTTATACACTATTGGTGGGAATGTAAAATGGTACAACCACTTTGGAAATCAATTTGGCACTTCCTTAAAAAGCTAGAAATAGAAGTGCCATACGATCCAGCTATCCTGCTCCTTAGAATATATACTAGAGAAATAAATAAGAGCCATCAGACAAATAGATATATGCACACCCATGTTCATTGCAGCACTGTTCACAATAGCAAAAAGATGGAAACAATCTAGGTGCCCATCAACAGACAAACGGTTAAACAAATTATGGTATATCCACACAAGAGAATACTATGCAATGATAAAGAACAACAATGAGGCCGTGAAACATCTTGTAACACGGATGAAGCTGGAGGTCATTATGCTGAGTGAATTGAATCAGTCACAGAAGGACAAATATTGTATAAGACCACTATTATAACAACTCCAGAAAAGGTTTAAACACAGAAGACAACATTCTTTGATGGTTACGAGGGTGGGGAGGGAGGGGGAGGGTTATTTACTAACTAGATAGTAGATAAGAATTATCTTAAGTGAAGGGAAGGACAGCAGGCACTACAGGGGAAGTCAGCACAAAGGGACTAAACCAAAGCTAAGAAGTTTCCTGAATACAGTCAAACACTTTGAGGGACAGAGTAACAGGGGTAGGAGTCTGGGGACCATGCTTTCAGGGGACACCTCGGTCAACTGTCATAGCAAAGCTTATTAAGAAAATGTTCTGCATCCTACTCTGGTGAGTAGTGTCTGGGGTCTTAAAAGCTTGCAAGCGACCATCTAAGATGCAGCAATTGGTCCCAACCACCTGGAGTAATGGAGAATGAAGAACACCAAAGACACAAGGCAAGTATTAGCCCAAGAGACAGAAAGGGGCACATAAACCAGAGACTTCATCAGCCTGAGACCAGAAGAACTAGATGGTGCCAGGCTACCACCAATGATCAAAAATCAGTGGCTGATTTCTTCTGAGGCACCTCTGGGTGGACTCGAACCTCCAACCTTTCAGTTAGCAACCAGGCACGTTAACCATTCACACCACCCGGAACACCTCTAACCCAACAGGAGATATGAAACTGGTGTAGAAGGATTCAGTCATTATTAACACAAAGAATGAAACAAAGGAAGAAGCAAGTGTGTAAACTCAACCAAGTGAGCTCAACTAGGAAGCTCCTCACTAACCCTGGGGAGTGTCATGGATTGAATTTTGCCCCCCAAAAATATGTGTCAACTTGGCTAGGCCATGATTTTCAGTATTGTGTGGTTGTCGTCCATTCTGTGATCTGATAATCCTATGTGTTGTAAATCCTAACCTCTATGATGTTAATAGGAGTCTTGGTGGTGCAGTGGTTAAGAGCTCAGCTGCTAACCAAAGGGTAGGCAGTTCGAATCCACCAGCCGCTCCTTGGAAACCCTATGGCGCAGTTCTACTCTGTCCTATAGGATCGCTATGAGTCAGAATTGACTTGACAGCAACAGGTTTTGTTTTGTTTTTTGGTTTATGATGTTAATGAGGCAGGATTAGAGGCAGTTATGTTAATGAGGCAGAACTCCATCTACAGGATTAAGTTGTGTCTTGAGTCAATCTCTTTTGAGATACAAAAGAGAGAAGTGAGCAGAGAGGAGGGACCTCATTACCACCAAGCAAGAAGAGCCAGGAGTGGAGTGTGTCCTTTGGACCCAGAGTCCCTGCGCTGAGAAGCTCCTAGACAAGGGGATGATCAACGATAAGGACCTTCCCCTAGAACTGACAGAGAGAAAGCCTTCCCCTGGAGCTGGCAGCCTGAATTCAGACTTCCAGCCTCCTAGACTGTGAGAGAATAAGTTTCTGTTTGATAAAGCCATTCACTTGTGGTATTTCTGTTATAGCAGCGCTAGATAACTAAGACAGGGAGTTTTCTTTTTAATGGAAAAAAAAAAGCAGACTGTTAGGAACAGTGGGTAAAGCAAATGTCATCCTTTGTTCCAGAATTGAGAAGAATCCACAGTAAATATCCATTATGCTTTTACCATGGCCAGGGAATGCTTATCCCACAGTGGTTTTTCGGAGAACAAAATTAAAATCAATACAATATTGATTTTAGTCCTTGTGAAATATATCACCAAATATTTGGCTATGATTTTTAAATATCAAAGGTATTAAAACAATGGAGCACACTCTCATTCCTGGGTGAGACGAGGGTAGCTCAAGGTTACAAATGAGCCTTCCTCTGATCCATCTTCCGCATTGTGACAGAAAAGCCTGTCTAAAGTACAACAATGATGCACTCACTCCTCTGCTTCATATCCCTTAAGCGTTCTCCATTCCCCCCACAAGGCCTCCACACCCAGGTCTCAAGACTTCCCTATCTCGACAGCCCACCTCCCACCCTGTACTCCAGCCACACTCAGCTCCCCAAATAGCCCTGCTATGTCACACCTCTCTCATTGGTCTATGTCCCTCCCTCTACATGGATGGCCTTCTTTCATGTTACAGTGAAGTGGATTTCTCTTACATGGCCTTTCTGGCCCTGGTTTGTAATTCTCACAAAATGATTGGTTAGGCTGCAGTCTTGCAAGTGATTGGTCTATTTACTACTTGCATAAGTGGCTTGTGGGAATTGGTTGGTTTACTAGCTGCATAAGAAGCCTGTAATCTACTCAACAGAATTGGGCGGCTTTTTTCCACCTAGGAGATTTGTTAGTTCCCTGTCCTGCTGGGTGGGTCAGGTCTTGAGATCAACAGGGAGTATCCTATATTAGCCGCCAGTTTCACAGATGTTTTGGGGGGTCTTCCTGATCAAGAAGAGCCTGGAGTGGAGCACATCCATTGGACCCAGGGTGCCCGTGCTGCAAATCTCCTAGATCCAAATAATAGAGCTGTAATATGGGTCAAGGGCTGTAACACTGAGCTGATGGCACTGAAGACAAACAACAGCAGAGCCAGCGGCAGAAACCAGAGGCAGGCCCAGGAGAGGCCCAGTGGCCGAGAACAAGAAGCCCAGAAGGGTGGAGAAGAGGCTATTTCTAAGGGCCAAGAGAAGGCTGGCCTTGAGCAGAGGTCACCGGCAGAGGCTTGAGAGACCTTGTGCAGGGGTCTTCCCACAGAAGGGCAAAGCTGGCAACACAAGGCCCAGTGAGGCCCAGCAGCAGGGCACCATGGTGGGAGCTGTCGTCAAGAGGTCTAGAAGGGCCCAGTAGCAAAGCCAGCAAAGGGAGGCCCACCACGACCCAGCAGCAGAGCAGAATACAGCACAGCAGAGCCACATGGACCCTGGGCAGCGTGGTGGGAGCCAGAGGCAGCAGTGACATGAATACAGCATCCAACCTAAACTACAGCATGCCTGCCCAATGGCCTAAGAATGGACATGCGTAATTTGGGAGAAGTGTAAGCAATTCCCCTTCGAGACATAAACAGGTTCCTCTCTACAAAATGGGTTACACATAGGGGGGTGGGGCCGATTCACCATAATTTGTTCCTATTGTTTACCATTTGCTTTCTATAAATAATAATGGCTTTCACTTGCCAACACTGCAAACATGTCTCATGTGTACAGCTCGATCATACTGGATGAACGTAGCACTCATGGAGGGAGTGAAGTTCTCATTCCTAGCAGTCTTATTGCTGCTTGGAATTTTTGAGGCACAGTCCACGTGTGTAACGCAGATGGGCACATGTAGCCCAGTCTTCCAAGTTCTGGAGAAATTTGCCACATCTTCCAAGACTCTATTCAAAAGTAACTTCAACTATGAAGATTTTCCTGACCTGTTCATACAGAACGAACCACCCCCTCCTTTGCCCGCCCACCCCCATCTTTACTCATCTAACTTTCCCACCTAGACTCTGAGTCCTTTGATGGCAAAGATTGTATTTCATTCATTGATATACCCAGCACTTATAAAAGTGATTAGTATAAAGTTTTCATTAAGAATTTATTTTATAAGTTGAATTTAACTGAATGAATGAATTTAACTCTTCATAATTTTTTTCTCTCTTTCTCTGTCTCATGCCGTCTCTCTCTTCTCACTCTCTTTCTCTCCAGTCTCTACACACATACACACTGGGCAGAAGGAAAGGGAAGGATAAGAAGAGGCCAGAGTGGAACACCTCTTGTGGTGACAGTTCTGTGATCAGTAGGGCTGTCTGTCTTTACTTACCATTGATGTTCTGTGCCCAGTGGCTGAAGGCAGAGGGGAGGGGCTGTTTTCCTGATACAGAAAGTCCAAGCAAGAGCTATTCTGAGAACTAGAGCTTCCAGAGTCACTGTGTAGCTGTCCCTTTTCAGACAGTAACTTGGACAGAAAGCTGGCTTTGCGACTGCCTGGGTGAGATCTGTCTGCCCAGACCCCACTCTCTCTCACGCTGTCATCACTGTCCCTGCGGTGACTGTGCAGATCTTTGAGAGGCTCACCTGGGGGTTTCAGATCCTGGGGCTGCTCCCAGGTTCCTGGTGCATAGGATGGACAGTGTCTAGGGGCCGTGGATCTCTCCAGCCAGGACTGGGAAACGGTATTCTGCAGGCCAAAGGAGGAAGGATGATCTGGTTGCTGTCCATGGTCCTGCATTCTGACACTGCCATCCCAGGGGCATGGACTGTGGACAAGGAGCTGTCCACTGTGCTGGTCCTTCTGAGCCCAGTCTTTTTTGCCACAGCAAGGGACTACCTCAAGTTGTTTGGCCTGTGGAATTTGCCAGATGGTTGCAGACTTTGGCATATTAAGTCGGATGATTTTTTGTTGATTGTTAGCTTGAAGCAGAGAGGTTCTATCAGGCAAGGAAGAGCAAGTCATATACTGCTGAGCCACTGAGTATTTCTTCAAATGGAATGGAGGGCCCCTTTCATCCTCAGGGACCTCACTGTTGGATTTCTCATAAAGTGCCCTTATGATTTTCCTGATACCCAGATGAAATATTTCCAGTACATTAAGGAACAAGGAGATGGCTGCAATACTGTGCATAAAGATCATGAAAATGGTCTTCTCTGTGGGCCTGGATACAAAGCAATCCACTGCATTGGGGCAGGGAGGTCGAGTGCATTTGTAAAGCGGGTGCATTTGAAACCCATAGAGAATATACTGGCCTATCATGAACCCTATTTCCAGCACAGACCTAGTCAAGATGTGTAAGACATAAGTACGCAGCAGACATCCTTTCAGAGGGACTTTATAGATCCTCTTCTGTTCCTCTAGCATCCTCAGTTCCCTATCTATTCTTTGCTGCTCTTCCAAGTCAAGCTCTGGATTCTCCATCTGGGCTCTAAGGTGTGACTTTTTTCTCCGTCTTTCTTTCTCTAAGGCCCTGAGTCTATAAAGTGCATGGCCCATATACACCAGAGAGGGAGAAGAGACAAAGATGATCTGTAAAACCCAAAACCTGATCAAAGAGATAGGGAAAGCATCATCATAACAGATATTGTTGCACCCTGGCTGCTGGGTGTTGCAGGCAAATGCTGACTGTTCATCATCCCAGACACCCTCAGCAGCCACTCCAAGTACCAGCATTCGGAAGATGAAAAGGATGGTCAGCCAGATTTTCCCCACGATGGTTGAGTGGGAGTGAACCTCCTCTAGGATGCCACCCAATAAATTCCAGTCCCCCATGGTTAGAGACTAATGGCTGAAATACACAGAAAACGCTATGGTTAATAGCACCCACAGATACAGGCAGTCTGCAGAGTACGAATGAGATCTGTTCCTCGTAAGTTGAATTTGTATGTAAGTCAAAACAGTTAGGTATGGTTCATATCTAATGTCAATTAGTTAAATGTTTGTCTTAGTATATAGTCTATAGTGTGTCTTGCTATGCAAAAAAAAAAAAAGACATTAAAAAAACACTTCCAGATACACGAAAACCTCTTTAGCATAATAATACAATAATAATAATGTTCAGATGTGTGTCACAAAGTAGCACCCATTTGTTATTACAAACCATTGTATGTATCTCGAATTTTTAATAATAGGCTTTGCAGGAGTTGGTTCATAACTACAGGTTGTACGTAAGTTGGATGTTCGTAACCCAGGGACTGCCTGTATATAAAACACAAGCACATAAATATAACAGGGTATTTTTCATGTCACAAGATGTGAAGGACTTTTCAGTCCTAATATTTATGGTCTACTTGATGAGATAGGATGTTTCCAAGGAATATCAGTTTTCCAAAAAAAAAAAAAAATCACTAATGACAACTTGACCCAATTTCCTTCCTATCCTCTTCTACTGCTCTTCTACACAAAAATGCTATGCCTGTAATTTAGTATACTTATTGGCTTCCATATTTGCACAATGCATTCCTATACCACAATTTTGCTCATTTTTCTACCCATCTGGGATGCCTCATTTTACTAAACACCATACATCTTTCATGGTCTTAACAAGTTTCAATTCCTCCAGGAAGTTTTCTCTAACCATCCCAAGTTACAGTGATCTTTCCCTTTCCTAAATTCCCATAACACTAATGCTTATACCACTCATTTGGCACTGTGCTAAATTGAGTTTTGTGATGTTTGTATCTTGTGTCCTCCTCCTGGAAAGGTACACTCCTTGCAGGTGGAGACTTTTTCTATAGAATCTTAGTTTTTGCATACAGAAGACATCAATAAATAATAGTGAATTGAATTGTCTTTCCATTTTGAAACATTGTTCTTTGACCCTTTCACTGGAATAATCATCAACAAGAAAAATAAAGTACATCCTCATTATATATTATCTATGGCTCCCACTGCAAGATTGAAACTACAAGAAAACAGCAATCAGGCAAATAAATCCTCAGGAAATGGCTCAGATAAGAGGAGCAATAAAAATTCGGTAGATACAGAAGTGGTACCAGCAGTAAGGTATATGACTGGATTCACAAAGATACATCTGGAAGAGCATGTTTTCATGGAAGCTTTGCTAACAGGAGAAAATGTGAGCATACGTTGCTTCTGTAGAAAGCTTGGGTTCTGGGAAATAATCAAGGCATAATTGACATGAACAGGTTACTTGGTTTACCCTGAAAAAAAAAAAAAAGAATGTTTTCAAGGTTCTCTGAGATTAAAATACTCACTAGGTTTACAATTCCTAAAATAGATATGGGAGACATGGAGGAAAATCAGGAAGGTGTTATTCAGTTAAAACAGTTAATGAAATAGTTTTCCCCTTCCATAATTCATTCATTCAGTAATATTTACTAAAATCTTACTATGACCTAGGCACTTTTTACTACTGCATGTGAGTTTTAATTACCTCAAAATAAAAAGTTTAATTTTTACAGAAATGGAAAGATAATATAAGGACTTTCAGTAATTTACTAACTATAGATAGATACAATTAATAAGAATGGACTAAGTTATTCTGTAAAAAGGCAAATAATCTCAGTTTTATAACTAGTCTCCTTTGTTTCTGGTTTTTTCTCCCTGTGTTTATTTTTTTTTTAGTACATGTATATTTTCTTATTTCCTCTCATTTTCTAATCATGATTTCTGGCTTTGGTGTGCTTTAAAAATCCTTCCCCTATTTCAATAATATAAAACATATTTTTCTATGTAAATATTTCATAGTTGATTGACTCAATCCTTTAGATATAGGGAATTCAGATTGCTTCCAAAATTTTGCAATTCTAAAATCAATTTTAAAAGTTTCATAAGTGATGATTGCACAATATAGTGAATGTAATTAATGTCACTGAATTGTATGGTTAAAATGGCAACTTTTTGTTATATATATTTTACCACAACAAATTTTTTTTTTAATTATTGTAAGACAAAGATCCACAGAGGAAGTCAACAGACAAGTGATAGAATTGGAAAATATTTGTAACACAGATGACAAGTGATTAATATATTTAATACACCAAGAGCTTTTCTGAATTGACAAGGAAAAAAATAGAAAATTAGCAAAGAATAACAGTCAATTCACAGAAAAACAAATCCAAACAACAAAAAAAAATAAGACCCTTGTCTTAAGCTGGGTTATCTAGAGAAGCAAAACCAGTAAAGTGTATAAATGTATATACAGAGCGGGATGTATATCAAGGAAATGTCTCACGTTGTTGTAGAGACTGGAACGTCCCAAGTCCGTGGGTCAGAATAGAGTCTTCTCTTGATTCACATAGCTGCAGGGGCTGGTGAATCCAAGATCAGCAGGTTGGAGAGCAGAGCTTACTCACGGGCTGTGAAGATCGATGGATCCCAAAATCAGCAGGTAAGCTGCTAGCTCAAGTCAAGTCTCAAGAACCGGAGGTCAGATGAACAGAAGCCAGCTGCAGGATCCAGAGCAGGCAAAAGCCAGAACGTCCACTTATATTCAGATGCAGGCCACACGCCCAAGGAAACTCCCTTTCAACTGATTGGCTACTCACAGCAGATCCCATCATGGGATGATCACATATAAACACTGAGAATCATGGCCTAGCCAAGTTGACACACAATTTTAACCATTACAACCCTCAAACTCAGTAAAAAATTTGTTGCTGTCAAGTAGATTCCGACTCATAGTGACCCTATAGGACAGAGCGGAACTTCCCCACAGGGTCTCCAAGGAGCAGCTGGTGGATTCGAACTCCTGACCATTTAGTTAATAGCCCTATCTCTTAACCACTGCGCTGCCTCCAACAAACTAGTAGTCTGAAAAATGCAAATTAAAGTAATAATATTAAACTTAAAAAACAATGTTTAATGTGGTAATACTGCTTGTTCTAGGTTGATTCGTATCCTCCCAAAATATATGTTCATGTCCTAACCCCCAATACCTGTGAATGTGACGTTATTCGGAAATAGCATGTTTGCAGATGTCATTAGTTAACATGAGGTCATGCTAGAGTAAACCAGTAAAAACCAAACCAGTGGCCTTTAAGTCCATTTCGACTCATGACAACCCTATGTGTAGGGTGCCCTAATCCAATATGACTGGCGTCTTAAAAAAAAAAAAAAAAAAGGCAGAGACATACAGACACACAGGCGGAGAGGGAAGGTGGCCTTGTGATAAAGGAGGAAGAGATTACAGTTATGGTCACACAAGCCAAGGAACACCTGGGGCTACCAGAAGCTGAAAGAGACCAGGAAGGATCTTCCCCTAGAGGCTTCACAGAGAGCATAGCCCTGCCAAGAATCCTAAATTCAGACTTCTAGCCTCCAAAACTGTGAGAAAATAAATTTCTGGTTTTGGTTTATTGTGGTAATTGTTATTTTGTTTATTGAGGTATTGTGGTATTATTGTCAATTCAACAATTTTTACATGTACAACTGAGTGACATTATGTTCATCATGTTGTGCAAACATCACCATTTCCAAACAATTCCACTATTGTTTTAAGACACCTAGTTTGTGCTACTCTGTTACAGCAGCCCTAGAAATCTAATATACTACTGATGAAGATACCAGTTGCCATCAAGTCTATTCCAACTCATGGCAACCCCGTGTGTGTCAGAGTAGAGCTGTGCTCCATAGGGTTTTCAATGGCTGATTTTTCAAAAGTAGATTGCCAGGCCTTTCTTCCAAGGCATCTCTGGATGGACTTGATTAGCAGTGGAGTGCTTAACTGCACTACACACACACATGCACACACACACACATACACACACATATATGTATTAGAAATGTGAACTATTAGAGTTGTTTTGGAAAGCAATCTAGCAACATTTATTAAAATTAAAAATATATGTAACTCTTCACTCTAGCAATTCTAATCATGGAAATCTATCCTACACAAAAATACGCACTGAAGTGAAATAAACAAACATATCTGGAGGAATGTTGACTAGGGTATGTCATCATCACATCATGGAACAATGGCAAGCACTGAAAAGAAACAGGGTTATACCAGGCGACTTGGAGGGATTGTCAAATGAATTATTGAGCAAAAATATGCATAATATGATCCTATTTTTATAAACCACTGAGTAAAACAAAACCTTATAAATATGTACATATATTCATGCACATATATACGAAATGTATATGCATGTGACTATATAGCGTGGAGAAAAAAATACAGAAAGATACACACAAGGAAGTTTATATAAGTTACTTGAGGTCTATGGGAGGTGATAAAGGTGGTGGGGGAGTTGGAGGGAGCAGGGAGAAGTGACCAAAAAAGGAAAAGAGTTTTCTTCTAAGAAAGCATGACTGATTTTTATCCAATGTATACATTTATGTAAATTTATATTTGCATGTGCATCCATATGTATAAAGAATTTTTTTAAATAAAATAGAAAAAACAGTGGATACCTCTTGGAATTTGGGAGGGAAGATATTAATGAGACTTTTGTATTTTATTCTATATTCTTGTGAATTGTTTGAATTAAAAAATTGAGAATATACTCATATATATTACCTGAAAATAGAAAATAGGATTTTAAACATCTGGACCAATATATCATTAACTGAAGCAATAATTTACTATGCTGTAGCTTCTCTTAAAGAGTTTAGACCGTTTCCCATAATTGTTCGTTTAAAATTTTAAAGAATTCCTTTAGCACTTAAAAAAATCTAGAACTTCTATTTTATATAAAAACCCTAAGGTGTTTTGCACCATTTGGCAATCCTAAACTATTTAATGCTTCTTTTGCCACTATCTCTTTAAAACCTCGAAATAATTTTTTTAAACAGCAAAAAACTTGGCATATAAGAAAAAACAGAAATATAATCATACATATTGGCATGCAAGAGCAAATCCTTCAGACAAATGTTCCTACATTTTCTAAAAATAAGTATTATTTACCATTAAATGACTTTAGGTCCTAGAAATAGTCTTGAATATTATTTTATTATCAAAAACTAATTTAGCACCTCCCATCAGTCTTAG